AAGGACAGGAAGGCCTGGCGCAATATGGTTCATGGGGTCACGAAGAGTCGGACGCGACTTAACGACTGAACAACAACATCTTAAAGTGGCCAAGTTTGGACAACACTGCCTTAAATGTTTGTTTCTTTTGATAGGCATTAACACGCTGGTGGATGCAGACATGGTTCCAGAACCAAAAATCATAGATGCTGCTTTAAGGGCATGCAGACGACTAAACGACTTTGCTACTACAATCCGCATCTTGGAAATGGTAAAGGTGAGTAAAGGGATAATGAACCTGAGCAGGAGGCAAACCTTCCACACACACACGAGCTGCATTCACGACCAAGCCCATGAGATTCCTCCCCACTCCCCAGTTCATGGGAACTGCTTCAAGTTCCCTTGTAATAAAGCGTTCACTACAAGCTGAATGGACCCTGAATGGCAAGAGGGGGAGGAATCAGAAAGGAACTGGTGGCCCAGTACACCAGATCGTTTATATTCACTGGCCATATCTCAAAGATAGTATAGCTAGCCTAGTAGGTGGTGATAAAGTGTCTACTTCTACATGTGCAGAGTCGCTCCTCCTAGTTCGTTAACACTGTCATCTGTTTAAAAGGGAATTCAAGGTGCCGAACTTAATAAGCATAGGCTTTGTCTATGTATTATAGCTTCCCTGTGCGTGAATGTTTTTCTTCATCCCTCTGCTCTACACGTCTACTCAGAAATAAGGCCAGCGATAAGAAATAAGTACTCAGAAATAAGTTTGGTGAGACTACGTCTGAGTGACAATAATTGCAGCTTTATAGCAGTCAAAATGTTTACTTCTCACGTGTGTATCTTTGCATATTTATTCTCGAATGAAATGAGGACTGTAGAAAAATTAAGCTTTTGGGTTTAAGTATACACATCTTGTCTTGCCAAATCTACCTTTTAAATTCTGAATTTGTTTTGTGTTCTCTTTGAATTAGTACAAAGCAGGCAGATACAAGGATATATATCCATATGTTATCCAGGAGCTTAGACCAACTTTGGATGAACTGGGAATTTCAACTCCAGAAGAACTTGACATGGACACAATATAAACTTAATAGTAAGGGAATACATCTTCAGTTTTTGGCTTGTGTACATATATCCTTTAATATTCTGTTTGGTATTTAAATGTTAACATAGGTTTCTAAAAATTGTAGAAAACACATTTGCCTGCTGTTTTGATAAGATGGAGAAAAATATTGCTGTCGACAGAAAATGTAGGGTGTGTGATATGTTCTCAATAACTAGAATCTAATTTCCTGCAGAATGCTTAGGCTCTAATGCCTGTGGGATTTAAAGTGTATTAAAAATGAAAAGATAACTCAGTCTTCTTGTACTTGTTCAGTTTACTTTTCACAGGGCTCACTTTTTTAAAATACAGTGGACATCAAATACAGGAAGTCAAGCTCTGTATTTCTAAATATGATTCAAATATAATCCTGTTACCTTCTTAAGTAACTATTTGCTCCTATTGACCCCTTATTTCTCCTGATTCACGCACATGCACATGCACACAGAGCTAGTGGAAGCATTCTGCCAACAAAGCTAGATTAGGGAAATTAGCACAAACAAGTTTATTGTTAAAATATGACAGTTCTATGGAAACTGCATGCTTAGTGGAAGCTTACATAGTGGAGGTGCAGAAAAAGGTCCCATGTTACAGGACAAGAGTAGACCAGGGGTCTCTAACATTTTATTGGCTATTGGGCACATGGGGTCTTTGGAGAATACATTGCAGGCGCTCTTGCAGAATGGATTGGGGCTTCCCCGTTCATAAAATGGCTGTGATGTGGAGGTAACTAGTTACCAAGCCCCAGTTAATTGGAATGCTTCCTGCCACACTTTCTAGTCTCTCTCCTGCCTACAATCTCTGCTTGTCTGTCTACATCAGCTTTTCTTTTTTCCAATCTGTTTTTTAAAATGTAAAGTCAGGGCAAGGAGCCCGCTAGACCTCAGCAGAGGTGTTTTTGTATACAGTAGCAGCCTGGGCATGACACTAAGGATCCCAGGGGCAGACAAGTGGTAATTAAATGGCAAAAGCAGTTCTTCAAATTGCTTTATGTAGCCAGGTATTCATCTGCAGCTAGCATTAAAGTTGGAGCATCTTTTCTTAACCATTCTACCCACTTCCTCTTCAAGAGGCTTGTGAAGAGAGATGGAACTCGAATACATCCAAACTAATTCCAACTATCTGTTCTCTTCCAGATGAACTTCCCATGAGTGTACTGTTAAGGTTCTGTGATTGTACAACAATTACCTGGATATAGACATTATAATTACTTATTTGAAATTATTTCTTCCTTTTATTGAGTCCTGGATGTTATTGTGAAGCTGACCTAATAAAGAGGAAATGGTTTGAATTGACCTTAGTCTTTATAGCCTGTGATTATAGATTAAAAAAGAAATATTTCGTAAGTCAAGATTGAGCAAACATAGGATGTTGAACAACGTATTATTCAGACGTTGAATTCTGTACGTTTCTGCACAAAAGGTAGTTCTCCACATTTCAAAAACGAAACAGCAATCCAGCATTTTAATGTGTTAACACCAATTATAAAATTATAATTTTGAGTGCCTCTGCATTAATTCATGTTTAATTGTATGGAATTGTATCATACTGCTTTCACGGAACATAAATTGGGCAAGAAGTTTGAATGACTTCAGCCACTTACACAGGTCTTAGTGTTTGCCACATAAAAAGAAAATCTCAGAAGTCACCAAATTAAGCACCTTAATGTGTCAGTTATACCACTTTAAAAAAAAACCAGAAGTTTCTAGTCCTAGTGGTTGTTTAGAATCCTTGAAAATATGTCGTGAGTGCTTCATGAGATCTGTTAACTTGCTGGCTGTGACTTCCATTGATCAGGTGGCTTTTTCTTGTATCACTAAGAAAATACTGAAGTGGAGACTGGTGTAAAATAAGAAAACAAGGCAGATGTATCAAGCTTACATAATTTATATTGGTAAATAAGATAGACTAAATGTATAAATGCATTACATCTTGACATGAAACCATTGTACCCCTGTGGTCCATCAAGAAAGAGCTTAGGAAGAGCTGTAATACTGTTGGCCCCCTCTTAACATTATGGCTAAGAGAGCCCCACGTCCCTCTCTGTTACCCACCTTCCTGGAGGCAATTGCAGCTGCTAATGCATCACTTTATGGAAATGGGTTCATCTCTCTAAATCAGTGTTTCTCAGCCTTGGCCACTTTAAGATGTGTGGACATTAGCTCCCAGAATTCTGGGGCTGGCTGAGGAATTATGGGAGTTGAAGTCCACACATCTTAAAGTGGCCAAGGTTGAGAAACATTGCTCTAAATTTTATTTTGCAAGCCCTGGTGTAGCTGGTTTGGTGGTGGTGTGAAGAAACTAGGAGGCTGTGAGTTCTAGTCCTCCCATAGAAATGGAAGCTGGCTGGGTGCCTTTGTGGCCAGTCCCTCTCTCTCAGCCCAGCCCAGCTTAGAGAATGGTGGTCGTGGGGAAAGTAGTAGGTGGGAGCATTATGTACACCACTTTGAGTTGTACAAAACAAAGGCAGTTATAAATCTAATCAATAGAATTGGTTTGAGGTGAAAGAATGTTGGCATATGTATTTTAAGATGAGAAACCCCACTCGTTTTGTCAACTTTTCTCTGAATCTTATAGCATAACTGGGAGAGCTAGTTTGGTCTAGTAGTGAAGGCACCAGGCTAGAAAGCAGGAGACGGTGAGTTCCAGTCCCGCCTGATGCTTGAAAGCCGGCTGGGTGACTGGGCCAGTCCCTCTCTCTCAGCCCAACCCACCTCACAAGGTGGTTGTTGTGGGAAATGTAAGAGGCAGGAGTATTAGGTATGTTTTCTACCTTGAGTTATATATAAAAAGGGATGATGATGATGCTCTTGCAGAAATCAGATTTTAATTTTATTCCAGTTCCTATTTCCTTGCCTAGGTGGTACTTTCATAGTCTTAACAAGAGCAAGAGGAAATTACAAGTCTTAAAAGCACAGCTAGATGAGTATCAGTTATGTGGTTTTCAAGAAAAATTGTAAATTCATTTTAATGTATTCATTGTAGGCACCACCCGACTCCAAACTGGCTCTGGGCGGTATACCATAAAACCAAAGAGAATGGAAAACGCACACTAATAATTATAAAAAAGGAGCAAGAAAGGGCTGGAGAACAAGATGGCTAGTCCAGCTAAGCGCTCGCACTCACCACTGAATCCAGCAGGGGCCCCAACCACCCCAAGGCCTGGGAGGACAGTCAGGTCTTTAAGGCTTTCTGGAATGCCGCCAGGGTGGTGTTACACACGCTGCTCCCAGGTTCAGCTTATGGCCACTCACACAGTCACAGCCTGTCGAGGCACGCGGATCTTGTCAGCCCCCCTTGCTTTCTACCTGGGTTTTCCAGATAGGTGCGGCTGGAGCAGACAGACACACACCCCTGGTCAACAGCCGGGAAATAATTAGGGATACTCACAAATCACTTCCAACCA